AGAATATCCTACAGCAACTCTTGTTGTTTACTTAGGAAATTAAAACCATAAGGCTAGCGGTGCAAAGGCCCTGCAAAGTAATAATTTAATTCGCCCACATCGGTGCATACGAATGGGTGCCGGGCATAGGAATAAATCTATAGCTTATGTAGAATAGCAGATGGATCGATGACAAACGAACGCATAAACTTAAGAGTAGTGACAAAGACATCAATACCCGGTGTAACTCTGCTGTGGGCAAATACTTGGGGAGGGGGGGGGGTCTATGGTGTGTTAACAAACGTTGGTGAGTTCGGGAAATGCGTGAAGAATAGGAGGGGCGTGAGAGAGGAGGATAGTGAGGGAAGGGCCAATGAATGGATGGATTGATGAATGGATGGGTGATTGGTTGGCTGCATGGATGGGTGGATGGATAAATGGATGGATGGATTGATGGATCGAGAGAGGTGAATAAATGTATGGATGGGTGGGTGCCTGTTGGATGACTGATTGAGTGAATATGTTGATTCGTAGATGGATGGATCAATGGATAGACGGGTGGTTGGTTGAGTGTATGGATAGGTGGATGGATGAATAGATGGATGAATCAGTGGGCCGAGGAAGGGATGGATGGAGGGGTGGGTAGGTAGATAGATGGATGGATGGGTGGGTGGGTGGTTGGATGATGGATTGGTGGGTGGGTGAATGCATAGATGGATGGATAGATGAATTGGTGGATGAATGGATGTGTGGTTGGTTGGCTGGGTGAATAGATAGATGTACGGATGGATGGGTGAATGAGCGGATGGATTGATAGATGTCACATATCACTCCTGTCACGTGCCTGATATAAGGATTTCTCCTTCAGAACCAACAGCACTCAGAAATAATTATGTTGAGTCGTTTGGCTCGTATTGGTCTAAGGGATTCCCCGTGGCCAATATACGCTCAACTTATTTCTGGAGTAGGGCAACTCAAGTATTGGCACTACAAAATATATCTGTATATGAATACAATATTCCTAGGCACACTTGGCTGGACACCCCCACTACTTACTAAAGAAAGCCCCCAGGTTATGATAGTTCATTATCATAACCATGTTAACACATATAATATTTATGACTCATACACACAACAATACTAAACACTTAGAAAGGTGAAATAGAGACACCTAAGTCAGCCATGAAAATGAATGCATGTAATCAATACAACATATATATACATATAATAGTGAAACAGATGCCAGATCTTGGTGGATGGATGCCAGAATACAATGACTAGAATCAACCAAAGCTAAACAGTCAGAAAGTCCTGGAGGAAGCACATCTTGTCATCATCGGATTACATTGGAGCTGTGGGGAATATAGCAACATGGAAACAAACTGGCACTTATCCTCTTTCTATCGTTGATGCTTCCCTCAGCTCCTGATGATTCGACTGTCTGTGAATCTGGTAACTCTGCTTCAAATGGATCAGGCAGTGGAAGAGTACCTCACCATAGAGGACACAGCAACTGTACCGGTACTCAGCAAGTCTCTCCCACCAGTCAGGTCACAACACTGTCTCTGGGCTACACCAAGCTCTTGCACTGTTAGGCTGTTTGGGGTATATGGCGCCCAATAGTGATGATGTCATGAACTTCACAAATGGTAGCTGGTGGGTAGTTGGGTGATAGGTTGGTTGGTAATTGGTTGATGGGTTGATTAGTGGGTGTTGGTTGGACTGTGATTTTTCTGCCAGCTCTTCACAAAGGTTTCATCCCAAGCATAGGAAAAGTCCTCGACACTACAGACCGCCTTCTGAAATTGAAATTTGCTGGCGTCGATGCATACATCTGAACGCTAGGAAAGCCGGCAGACACAATGCCGCAAAAATTCAAGTCAGGCGTCGGTAAGAAGAAGTTCCTTGTATACATGAGCAAGGAGTAAACCGGTTTCTAAGAATAGTTAAATAACTCCATCAATATTTATCAAATAGTTGTAAATTTGAAAATGACGCTAAGTCAAAGTAACTAGAAGATGTAGATATTATAATTTTGTCCGATAAAGGCGTATATCGAGGGGACTATATACCTTCCCGGACGAGTCCAAGTTTGAAAGTTGTGTCGAGCACAGGTAATACAGGTCCTGACTCTTATATGGGTGATGCGTAATGGCTTGTCATTCCTTGACATAGATCAATGGACAAACAGACAGACAGGCAAATGAATCGACAGACCTATGTTTTCGACATCACCATCTTCTTCTTCTTCTTCTTTTTCTCCTCCTTCTTCTTCTTCTTCTTCTTCTTCTTCTTCTTCTTCTTCTTCTTCTTCTTCTTCTTCTTCTGCTTTTTCTTCTTACCCTCCTCCTTCTCCTTCTGTTTCTTCTTCCTCTTTGCATTTTCAGCTCGCTTTTTGTTTTCAGGTTCAGCAGATAGCCAGTGTGCAACCCCGTGTAACTGTAAATGACAGACACGATTATACATACCAATGTTTCAAGGCGGGATAACCCCATATCTGATTGCGCTGGATCCTTCATTGTTCAACATCATCATCATTATCATCCAGTGCCTCGCTCGGCTGTCGTGGGCGATCATGCTTCTTCGCAACTTTCGATTTGTAACACTATATATCAGTTCCTATATTGGCACCTTTCTATAGCATGACAAAGGGCTGTCAACCATGTTTTTCTAACTGTCTGTCTCTTATCTCTCTCTCTTCATACATCTTAATAGTGCCATGCGTTTCAGTTTTTCGTTTCTTATTACGTGACTTTCTCTCTCTCTCTCTCTCTCTCTCTCTCTCTCTCTCTCTCTCTCTCTCTCTCTCTCTCTCTCTCTCTCTCTCTCTCGCTTCCTCTCTCTCTCTCTCTCTCTCTCTCTCTCTCTCTCTCTCTCTCTCTTTTCCCCACCCAAAATAAAACACGATTGCCTGTGTTTAATGTATATTACGTGATTTCCACCCCCCCCCTTTCCCCCCCCCCCCCCTTTCCCCCCCCCTCTCTCTCTCTGTCTCTCTCTCTCTCTCTCTTCCCCACCCAAAAGAAAACACGATTGCCTGTGTTTAATGTATATTACGTGATCCCCCTCTCTCTCTCTCTCTCTTCCCCACCCAAAAAACACGATTGTGTGTTTAATGTTTATCCTTGTTATAATTTGTTTAAACGATCTTTCTCAATTAATATTACATGCACTGAAACGTGGAAATAACGAAGCGTCACCCTGAAGCGGAAAATTGAAACATAATATAAAATCCTTAAAAAAAACGACTCAAATCATTTAGGAGTTAATTGCCTCATACGTCACGCTTTGTAAGTAAAGATTAGTATTTTTATTATTATTATATGTTTAGGTCCGCTCCCTACTATCAACCTGACACAGTGACCCAATAAATCAAATGTCCCATGTCAGACCAGAGAAAACAAATTCCCGATCCTCGATTTAACTTTTTGGCTCAAGCAGTTTGCTATGCTGTTCTTGGTTTCCACTCAACAATACATAAACATTTGAACAGGGCGTCCCGAAAGTTTGTATGCATAAGAAAAATATCACTGCTTTGAAAACATTGTAAAGCGCGTCCTCAACTGTTGAAGACTACATATAATCACAGCGGGAGTTGTAATGGTGATGGTGCTTTGTTTGTTTTTCCTATGTGTGGAAACTTATAGGACAGACAATCTGTAGAACACTGTGTTTAATGTTGTCTGAATTTAAAGCAATGGCAAACTACTGGACGTAAATTTGCCTAGAAGAACCACACAACAGCCAGGGGCTGTTGGGTTTGGTTCTGCAACGTCCTGTAAAGGCTACGCAACTAACCTATGTTTGAATTTGGAATTAAGTTTGGAACCACAAGAAAGCACTATGAGAGTAAAAATAAGTAAAAATTGAATTAACCTCCTAACCACGCCTTCAGACGTACTGGGTATATAGGGCTAGACCCATATTTTAAAGACCAATCGGCACTTAGTGGGTGATGTGGTTAACATCCCGCCAGCCTCCTTTACTTCTCACGACTTTACCTGGAACCGACTCGAAGCTGGATAGATCTTGTAGCCCAGGCCATTTCTGAAAAAAAAAAGTCCGGATCCAGCAGGACCCGAACCGATGACCTTCCGATCCGTAGGCAAGCACCTAGCCGCTACACCACGGGGGCTTCCCGAATAAGGATCCAGCATGTGTACAACCAGCAAGCCGAGATAACAGTCAGTATCAACACATTACAATATTTTATGCGGGATGAATGAATGAATGAATCAATAAAGAACTGATATCATTGCACTCAGGACATTTCCACCGGTAGTCCGTCTCCTCTAGCAGTAGCCAACGAAGATGCGACATGCTAACAGTACTAGCTACAGCCTGTTTGAACGTTTGCCCATGTTTTCACCTCAGTACTGAATTTCACCCAGAACCTTCATTCACCCCCAGCTGAATGAGTCCTTTCATGTACGAATTCTCTGTTCTACAGCCCTGTCTATTTGATCCCAAAGAGCCTTCGATATTGGGCATCTATGGGTTTAACCCATGGACATACCTTTTACAGGACAGGGGGTTTATTCTAAAATTAGAATATGATTTGAAAGAAACTGACGCACGAAGAGAACGGATTGCCCACATCAGAAAGTGATAGTCTACATTTTTGGGTCATTTAATGAGGAGAAAGCGAATACATCGTGACAGTAGGAAAGTTGGAGGGGAGAAGAGGCAGAGAGAGACCGAGAGAAAAGATTCTTGACAGTTTAACATCATAGCATGGAGGATCATCTGTGTCAAAGCTGACTGAAAGTACATCAGACAGAAGGTTGCGGATATCGTCATGATTACCAACGCCACATGGCATGGTCTTTAAAAAGAAGAAGGGTTTATTCGAACCCCTAAACTGGGACCCTGGGACATAACAGGGTCCCTATTACATAAAGAACTAACTAACTAGCACGTGAGACAGAAAGCTGTAGACATGTATGAAGAACCTGGCATGGACGAGGAGACTAAACTTGTGAAACAGAAAACAATCAACCAATTTAAATCTCATTACTCACCTTTGCATAATCATTATCATCATCGGCTTCTGGGTCGTATCGCTCAGCAGAAACTGTAATGATAATAAAAATAATATTAATAAATAATAATAAAGATGATGATAATAATAATAATAATGATAATAATAATATTGATGATGATGTTGATAATGATAATAATGATGATAATAATAATAATAATGACGATGATGATGATAATGATAATAATAATGATAATAATGATAATAATAATACGCTTCAAAGCAAATTTAAAACAGGGACAGAGACAGAGAAAAGAAAACTATAATATTGGTTTATGAGCAGTAAAATTAATAAAATTCAAACACGGTCATCAGACAAGGGTGGGAAGAGATTCATGATTAGTAATGAGTGTCATCAAAGCAATCCGGACAGATCCAAAGATGCTTCGATCACCTGAAGATTACCACATCCGATGACGCCTCTTCCATGTTGATCAATCAGAATGTTTTTTCCCCTTGGTGAAACGTTCATATCTGGCAAGTCCAGGTTTCACCCTTATATCCAACAGTGTGTATAATTTAAAAAAAAGTCGTGACAAGTGTCCTAATCCCCTTGTTGATATGTGCTGCGCATGGCATTGATGACATGGCTTCTGTCCTGTACCCAGCCAGATACTATGTACTCTCGTTGCCTCCAACCCCCGCAAGAACAGGCCTAAAGATGAAGGTCAGGTAGATGGGAAAAGAGGGGGTGGGGGGGGGGGGGGGCGCAGAGATACAGAGGTGTGAGTTTTGAGTTGGATTATCTTCACAGCACTCCAGACACATCCATAGGTGCTCAGATTCCTGTCTCAACATATTCATCAGCGTCGCGCTTTTCATAGTGCCAGTTCTACGCTGGTTGATAAGACCGTGTGCGTCCGGTGTGCTTCTCATGCTTGGCTGTGCCGATCCCAACTCTCGTATTCTTAGCAGTGATGTGGACACATGGCTTCCAAAATCCTCGGAACGTCCGATCTCTATAAGGGCATTGACAATGTCTGCACGATCCATGGGCCGGCTATCTTCAATTAATGTGGCACTAGTCGGTCCATCAGCTCTTGCATTACCAACAACACATGCATGCGCTGGGACAACTATTAAGCTAACTGCACACACACACACACACACACACACACAAGAGAATTTTGCAAGGAATCAATCCACTATCTGTGTAACCAGCCTGCCTCAACCCGCGGGATTTTGCTCAAAGAACACTCAGCACACACATGCGGGAATAGTCCTGAGATCCCAGCCACATGAAAGCTTGTGTTACCGCCATCACCTCCATCGTCATGCTGCTGGAGGTCATGGAGAAGGCACCGATGACTTCTTGAACTGTTCTGCCTAAAGAGCCAGCTGTAAATATCCATGCACTCTTATGTCCTTGTTACAGATACAGAGAGAGGAGAGGGAGATGAGAAGAAAGAGAGAGACGAATGGGGGAATAAGGGAGAAGTGGGAGACAGATACAGAGGGGGGAGGAGGGTGGATAACGAGAGAGAAGGCGGGAGGGAGATAGAGATGAGAGAGCGGAAATACCAGGCGAATTTATTTTGTTTTATTGTCTGTAAATACTGGCGGAAAGTTCTGGCTGTTCCTCTATCTCCGGACTTTATTTAGTCTTGTTCCGAATCTGAGCGTTGCGTGCACATCCGTTTAATAGATCTAATTTATATGTATGCAGATTGTTAGTTCCATGTCTCTCAGGCAGACGCACTCCGAATTAAAAAACGCCCCATATTAGTATACTCTTACGACACGCTTTATAAGTGTATTGGGGTCTTAGGTTTGCATCAATTCCTTACCTGATTTTCTTCTGTCTCTTGAGAGCTGAGAAACTGTGGAAGAAAACACAGAGCGGTTAAATCATAAGTTGAATCAATTGGAAAAATAAACATGTGGCTGCAAAGTATAGTGCTCCATATTAGTGGTCCTGTCGTGATATTTAATTCCCTCTATTATGAGCATTCAGTGTTGTATGGAGCAGAAAACATGGAGAACAACTAAGGCAATTGCTAATAAACTACAAAGATTCATTAACTGGTGCCTGCGCAGAATAGAGGGAATTAAATGGTATGCTAGAATCACTAAGGTAGAGCTCTGGGAGAGAACTAAGTTCTAGTCGACCGAGAAATGAAAAAAAAGACGCTGGCGTTGGATAGGACACACGTTTAGAAAACCTGAGAACAATATAACTAAAATGTCTTTTCGCTGGAACCACAGTGGCACATAAATAGAAGACCCCACCCTCCCCCCACAAACACACACACACACACACACACACACACACACATCCACACACACACACACACACACACACACACGGAGAAGGGAGCTAAAGAGCGAAGTTAAAAGGATAAGTAGGACACGGGGAGAGCTACATGTGATAGCGAAGGATAGAACGACCTGGCCTGAGTTGGTTGAGGGCCCGTGCTCCACTTGGGAAAGAAGGTAGAAGAATTATGAGCATTCAATAGTCACTGGATGTCTGTAATGTAACAGTTGATAACAATACAACTAGAATGTCCTTGTACTGGGGATCGACATCGTCAAAGAAATCAAAGGCAGATCACGAAACATCCGAAATTGTGTAGCGGCTAGACGCTTTCCTGCGGATCTGAAGGTCATCAGTTCAGTTCCTAATGTAGCCGGACTTTATTTTATAAATGACCTTGGCTTCCAGGTCAACCCAGCTATAAATCAGTAACAGGTACAGTCCTGAGAAGTAAAGGCGGCAGTCGTTTTTAATAACATGATGATAAATAGGCAGGTAGTGAATAGATGGGTGGGCGGGCGTAGATTTAGTCGACTCGCACGACATGCAAGTAGGCAGTGGATCTTTTCTTGCCCCCCTCCCCCTTTTCTTTTCTCACAATGAGGCATGACACACACGGGGACAACTGAAACTAACTGGTATGTTGGAATTAGAAAACTGTGTTCATAACCCCAGACGCCAACTGGCAAGCCACGGCAGCCAAATTTCAGACCCATGCATAAAACCTGCGATGGGGGAAAAGGGGGGAAGGGGGGGGGGGGATGTCCCCATGGCAAAGTCAAGTTGTTTGCCTGGCACACTAAAGGTCGTGTGCTCGTTTTCACGGTCGTGTCGTTCAGTTCACCAGTAGTCGATGTCTTACGGAGATCGATTAGGATCGTTGCTGAGTTATGGAGTTGGTGCTTTTTGTGACGCTCACAGACAGCGAACAGTCGTTTCCTGGAGAGCCATATGAATTAATTTAGTGCAATTAGGTCAGTCCTCTTGACTTGAACTTTATATAATACGAGATCTGCCGGCTTCTCAAAAACAACACTAAAGGGCTCAGTAGAGGAGAAGAGGCAGACCAAGAAAGAACTGGATACAGAACTTGATCGACTGGACAGGTCTTAGACATGCATTCATGAAGTCCAAAGCATCCGACCGTCGAAGGTGGAGGGAGCTGATCATACAGAACAGCTGCTGTATGCGAAAGTCACTCTGGTGTTTGAAGAACCAAGGAAGCTAGGACTTTGTGATGCATGGGTACACAAGGGTATTCATGCTGTGTTGGTGGGTTGTGATTGTAAATATTTGGGGCCACTGGAAGAGAGTAAAGCATGAGCCGCTGGGGAAACATGAGTGGCGTGAGGTCCATGACGGGCTTGCGGACATCACGGATTTTGTGGGATCTGTGGGGGTCAATAGCTCGAGAGGGTTGTGAGATCTACGCGGAATTGACAGCAGGTGGAAAACCCATGCGGAGTTTGAGTCAGTCAGTCGCTTTCAGTCAGTCTGTGTGGACGTGTGCGCGAATTGTTTTAAGTCATGCGAACGCAAGGACTGTGTTGTGTGACAGTTTTAACAGTGTGGTTTTATTCTGTCAGAGCTCTTAATCTGTCTTGATGACTGTGGTGGATCACGAGTTGGACTTCACTATTCTGTCAGAGTGTTTTTCTAGAATGGACTTGCGTCGGCCATGTGTGTGGGGTCGGCAAAGTTGCGGCTATGTGGAGCGCTGGTTGACGGGGTGTCTTTATGTGCTGCAGAAGGTACTGTAGGAATTGTGTGTGTGCGTTAACCAGCGTTGAGTTGTGATAGGGAGGTATTAGGAAGCTGGTCGGTGGTAGGGCGTAGTCCCTTTTTTGACACAGAGGTTGATCAGTGACAATTTAATAAGTGACTAGGTAGCAGACAGGAGGTCTGGATTCTTTTCGAAGTTGTGCATCTACCTAGGGTTCTCGGGTGGCGGGGTCTCTTGGATAGGGTACCGTCAGAGGACTGTCACTGTGCATCACGCAGATGCATCTGCGCGATCAGGTGTGGGGATTATCCGTAGCAGGCACTCTGTACATATTTCGCTAGGGTATATTTTTTTTTTCCAATTTCACCGCCGAGTTGGGTGTACTTGGCAGAAGTGGTAGATTGACAGTGGGGCATAAATCACCAATTCAACTTCATCGCAACATGCTCGTCCACAAAAAAGAGACTGATCGCTGGTTACGCGGTGACATGTAACCTGTGCCAGAGATATTGTGGTTGTCGACTTATTGTTTGTCTGGCTTATAGTGGTGCTCCCTGCTAAGCTGACCTTCCTTTAATCCAGTTATAATCACCATCAGCATGTGCAGGGCCAATTATACTGGGCGGTCATAGTTAACTGAGTGAACCCTGTGTGTATGTGTGGAAAACTGACATAACATTTCCCATAGATACTTGGTAAGCGTGCGGTACATCTCCCGATCATATGCTACAATTGCGACTGGTGACCCAACGATACGCAGTGATGATGATGACGACGATTATGATGATACATATAGAAGAGGATCCAAGTGTATCGAGAAATGAGTGTTCTCAGCATCTACTAAATTACCTTCTTTATTTTTTCTTTCCTCTCACAAATGACTAATTACACAGGTGAACATCGTCTGATATTTAGTTTAGTGACAATAGGGAACACTAGTATAGAACACTTTATTCATCTCCTTCTCTCCCTGCCCCCTCTCCCGCTCCCTCTTTTGCAGACAGACATATTGCTGGATGGGTGCATGCATGCTTCGATGGGAAAATGATGGATGGATGGATGGATGGATGGATGGATGGATGGATGGATGTGTGATTGAATAAACGGATAAATTATGAATGGGTGGATGGGTGGGAGAATGGGTTTATGCATGGATGAGTGGATACATAAGTGAATGGATGGGTGGGTGGTTGGGTGAATGAATGGGTGAATGATGAATGGATGGGTATGTTGACGCATGGATGCATAGATGGGTTGGCTTGGATGGTCTGGATAGTTTGGATGTATACATTAGTAGATTAATGGATGATGAATGGAGCAATGGGTGGATGGAACTACAGATGGATTGATTCATCGATGAATGGACTCATAAATCGATCGATCAATAGTAGATGGACGGATGATCGATGGATGAAGGGACTGATAGACACTTTTTCAAACTCACTCTAAATTAAACAACATATTACGCATGAATGGTTTTGACCAGTTTAGACCAATATTTTAATATATTACCAAATGCACAGGTACCACAGCGCTTCTATAAACTTCTCCCTCCTCTTCGTTTACTGGCTGTAAGCTCCAGCCGAAAGTCGGGGTTGTTTGTCCATTTGGGCTTTGGCTTTGTGCAAGGGCTTGAGTTTTGCGTTGACTGGCTTATTTGTGTGCAGCTGGTTGTTCCTTGCCTCTCCGGCAGATGCGCTCCGACTCTGAAGGAAGCTCTCCCAATTAGCCGACTCTCATGACATGCTTTTTTGGAGGGAGGCAGTGGGTCTATTCCTGTTCTACCCCACAACGGGGTCCCGGAACCCACACGGGAAGCTGATATAAACAGTTTCAAAGCTATTTATGTCCGCATTAAACAATGCCTGAAGGAAGAACACATTAGAAGAAAAGACTAATAACAACTGTTGCATTCGCTCACTATATTATTCAGATCGAACTCAATTTCCACTTATCTTCTTATGCCCCATCGTCTCGTTTGATTGATCGAATCTACCCAAATTTCTAAGCGCAAAAAAAAACACAAAATCTGATACGTTTACAATCAATATAGGGGTACGGCAGGAATGTGTGCGCTTTCTCTCTCTCTCTCTCTCTCTCTCTCTCTCTCTCTCTCTCTCTCTCTCTCTCTCTCTCTCTCTCTCTCTCTCTCTCTCTCCTCTCTCTCTCTCTCTTATTTAAAATATACATAGACGAAATATTAAAAGAAGCCAGGTTTAAAGCAGTCGACCCAGAAAATCCCGAAAATGAGGAACTTTACCTTCCGGAGGAAGAATTAGATCCACACAGAATAAACTAATTTTTTTTTTTTTTTTTTTGCAGACGATCAGTGCCTGTTCTACAATGAGGGAAGTAGACTGCAAGACCAACTGAACAGGCAAATTTTAAAATGCGGAATATACAACATGAAAATATAAATAGGGCGAAAAACTGAAGTTCTGCGCGTCAGTAGAATTCCTAGTCCGCTACACATAGGGTTGAATGGTGATGCTGGGAGCAAGTTAAAGAATTTAAATATCTAGGAAGTATATTTTCCGAAGGGAAAAAAGATCGGGTAATAGAAGCAAGAAACCACCGAGCCAGTGCATTTACATACCAACTGACATCGTTACTGAGATATAAAACCACAAGTATGAGCGCCAAGAAACAGATGACAAACAGCATATTCATGCCAACACTGTGCTACCACTGCCAGAAGTAGAGATTATCCAAGGCTAACCTACGTAAAATTTATAACAAATGCAAAATGTGATGTCTGAGAAACACTACCAACTTAATCATCTGAGACATAGTTGGAGATGATATTATCAGACAGACTGGTGGAACAATACCACGCTGCA